ACTGGTGCATGAAACAGTAGAAGTGGATCTTTTGAACGGTACTCACCCACAGCCTGTCCACACACCTCCTGGGTGTTACAGGTCACATTGGCAGTGCATTCATAAGAGGAAGGATCACAGCTGTAACACTGCAGAGAGCCAACAGGGGGCGCCACAACTGAAACAAATGTGTGTTAAATGAGACATTTTCAAAGTGCAGAACATCAGCTGATAAGAGAGAATCACTCACTGGACTGATTCTGGTTGTTGCAGTTGTCTGTGTCGCAGCACGTGGTGTTTACAGCATAAGTGTTGGGGCCATAATTATATGAAACAAACTCAGACCCTGCAGCTGTACAGTCTGAAGCAGAAGCACAGCCTTTATAGGTGTAGCTGTAGGTGTTAATGTAGTCTCCATAATCGTAGGAGCCTAAAGACACAAAAGGAACAAATAAGAATCTCCTGAAGAGGGCAGTGCAGGTGCTGGTGCAGCACAACCTGAAAAAAAAAAACACATTCAGTCCCACACGCCTCTTTGGCCACTTCAACAAAGTGAGACATATTTGTGATTCAGATTTGATGTTAGTTTCTGTATTATCATGATCTGTATTATTTAATACATGTGTCCTTAAACCCTGTTTTTGTTGATTTGTTCAGAGTCTTGATGTTGAGGTGGAAGTGTCACAAGAGCAGAACAAGACCAAAACTAAAACTTTATTTAAGTTGATTAGTGAGAAAACCACAGACATGACCAATCAGAGACACACACATGCACTGTGAGCCAATCAGAGACACACACATGCACTGTGAGCCAATCAGAGACACACACATGCACTGTGAGCCAATCAGAGACACACACATGCACTGTGAGCCAATCAGAGACACACACATGCACTGTGAGCCAATCAGAGGAAGTCTTGTACCTGTGTAGGACCTGGAGAAACATGCTGTAGTTTGAAAGGGGCAGGTAACTGAATACTGGTAATAGCCGGAGCCGCTCATGCACTGAAGTCTGCGAACTGTGTGAGAGAGAGACTGATGTCAGATACACACACACACACACATTGGCAGTACATTCATAAGAGTAAGGATCACAGCTGTAACACTGCAGAGAGCCAACAGGGGGCGCTGAAACAGAGAGGAGAAGTTGGACCTTTGAGAAAAATCTATGGGATTTTAGTTTGTACATGTTTGTTTGGGATTTTTTAAATGCAATTGTTCATTATCTGCAATTATTAAATATTTATTTCTATGTTTCTTGCTGCTCGTTCTCTCTGAAGCCTGTTCCATTAGGCGTCTGTTTGGGCTGAGGCAGGACACTTGGACTGGAAGGAGGTGACTTTGGAGGAACCCACTACCAAGTCTATTTGTGTAAAATGAGGAGCAGCACTCACAGGTCGGGTTTGGAGCGTTGCAGTCGTCTGTGTCGCAGCATGTGGTGTTTCTGATGTAAGAACTGTAGCCATAGTCATAAGAATCAAACTCAGACCCTGCAGCTGTACAGACCGAGGATGAAGCACAGCCTTTTCTGATCGTGATGTAACTGGAGCTTCCATAATCGTAAGAACCTGAAACCAGAACAGAAACAGGTCAGATCTGAAGAGACTTCTCCAAGAACCAGGTCTGGACTGTGGACCAGAGCCAGACCCGCCCACTACAGACCTGTACCAACCAATCAGAGAGAGGCTCAGACATGCAGTGACCAATCAGAGGACAGTACTGTACCTGCGTAGGCATCAGTGTAACAGAAGGGGGCGAGTTTGGAGCAGGTCACCGAGCGCTGAGAAGAACATGACGAGTCTGTGCACGTCAAACACTGTAACCCCAGATCTGAAAGAGACACAGGTTAGACCAGGACTGAACCAGGACTGAACCAGGACTGAACCAGGACTGAACCAGGACTAAACCAGCCAGTCATGAACTGCCATTTCTCCTGAGTGACATATAAATTTGAAAGTCGTCTACATAAAAATGATGATTCCATGTTTTTGGAAAATCTGACTCAGGGAGAATATGAAGATATGAAGTGTAAACAGTACAGGTGCGAGAACAGAGCCCTGGGGGACTCCACAGTGAAACAGAGTGAAGAATGAGGTGAAGTCCCCCAGTCTAACACAGAAAGACCTCCCCGACAAATGGGACCAGATCTACTTCAAGGTAGACCCCCTACAGACTCAGTACAGACTCGGTACAGACTCAGTACAGACTCGGTACAGACTCAGTACAGACTCAGTACAGACTCAGTACAGACTCAGTACAGACCCTCTGACACCAACACAGTTTTCAAGATGATTTTTAAAAGTTGCACAGTTCACTGAGTCAAAAGCAGCCGTCAAGTCTAAAAGCATTGAAATGTCAGAATCATCAGAATCGGTCATTAAAAACAGGTCATTAAAAACCTTTAAAAGTGCTGACTCAGTGCTATGAAATACTTTGTCGACTGACTGGAGCAAATCAGATACATTATGTGCATTTAAATTAACTACAGCTGAACTAAAACACTCCAGGATCTTGAACACAAAATAAATCTTTGACATGTTTTGGTAATTTGAAGAGAAACTAGTGTAAAGAGAAGGAAGGAACTGAACCAGGACTTACCTGGGACGTTGCAGTGGGAAGTGTTGCAGCAGGACACTGAGGTACTGAAGCCAAAATATCGTCGTGACAGGTTGGTGTTGTTGCACCAGTTCTCAGAGAAACAGCCGTAAAATGGACGGGATGGGTTATACTGGTCAACTGTAACGAAAGGTCAGAGGTCGGGTTGAATTGGGGGAGGTTGTGTAAGAGCAAGAAGTTTGTGAACTTGGAGAGGTGAACTTGGAGAGGAGTCCTGATTCTTCCAGTAAAACAATGTACCTGCCTGAGGAGACTGTGCTTGAGTGTTTAGTGACTCAACTCATATTATGTCGTGAGGGGCGAGGCGCAGGGTTCCAAACTGCAAACTCTGGCAATGAATTTGTTAAACTCGGGAAGAACAGCTAAGATAAAAGACTGATTTACTGATCAATAAATCTCCACAGGATCTATACTAACTCATGGCTGAAAGGAAGGAGCCCTGGTCACCGCCCACACCACTGGACAAAGTCTGTTTTTAGGCGGAGTTTTGGCCTCCAGGAAAGTTCAACATTCATGATGATGATGGTCTCTCTTGTCCTGTTGTATTTTGGTGAACTGGTGCATGAAACAGTAGAAGTGGATCTTTTGAACTGTACTCACCCACAGCCTGTCCACACACCTCCTGGGTGTTACAGGTCACATTGGCAGTACATTCATAAGAGTAAGGATCACAGCTGTAGCACTGCAGAGAACCAACAGGGGGCACTGAAACAGAGAGGAGAAGTTCGACCTTTGAGAAAAGTCTATGGGATTTTAGTTTGGACATGTTTGTTTTGATTTTTTTAAATGCAATTTTTTATTATCTGCAATTATTAAATATTAATAAATATTACTTTGGAGGAACCCACTACCAAGTCTATTTGTGTAAAATGAGGAGCAGCACTCACAGGTCGGGTTTGGAGTGTTGCAGTCGTCTGTGTCACAACATGTTTTGTTTCTGAGGTAAGACCTGGAGCCGTGGTCATAAGAATCAAACTCAGACCCTGCAGCTGTACAGACCGAGGATGAAGCACAGCCTTTTCTGATTCCACTGTAGTTGTAGCTTCCATAATCGTAAGAACCTGAAAACAGAACAGAAACAGGTCAGGTCTGAAGATACTTCTCCAAGAACCAGGTCTGGACTGTGGACCAGAGCCAGACCCGCCCACTACAGACCTGTACCAACCAATCAGAGAGAGGCTCAGACATGCAGTGACCAATCAGAGGACAGTACTGTACCTGCGTAGGCATCAGTGTAACAGAAGGGGGCGAGTTTGGAGCAGGTCACCAAGCGCTGAGAAGAACATGACGAGTCTGTGCACGTCGAACACTGTAACCCCAGATCTGAAAGAGACACAGGTTAGACCAGGACTGAACCAGGACTGAACCAGGACTGAACCAGGACTGAACCAGGACTAAACCAGGACTAACCTGGGACGTTACAGTGGGAAGTGTTGCAGCAGGACACTGAGGTACTGAAGCCAAAATATCGTCGTGACAGGCTGGGGTTGTTGCACAGATTCTCAGAGACACAGCCGTAAAATGGACGGGATGAGTTATACTGGTCAACTGTAATGAAAGGTCAGAGGTCGGGTTGAATATGGGGAGGTTGTGTAAGAAGCAAGAAGTTTGTGAACTTGGAGAGGAGTCCTGAGTCCTTCTATTAATATAATAATAATAATATATTATTATTATTATTATTATTATTATTATTAACATTATTCACTGATCAATAAATCTCCACACTTCTGTCCACAAGGTTTAAGACTGAGTTAATGGGAGTTGTTTAGCATCTTCCAGAAAAGCATTTGTGAGGCCGCACACTGATGTTGGACAGAAGCTCTGGATCTCAGTCTCTGCTCTGATCCATCCCAAAGGTTCTATCAGGCTCAGGTCAGGACTCTGTGCAGGTCCAGTTCATCCACACCAAACTCTCTCCTCCAGGTCTTTATGGAGCTGCTTTGTGCTCTGGTCACAGCCATGATGAAGTGGAAGGGGCGTCTCCAAACTCTTTCACATCACAACCCTCCAAACCCACACTCGTCCATCACAACCCTCCAAACCCACACTCGTTCATCACAACCCTCCAAACCCACACTCGTCCATCAGAACCTCCAAACCCACACTCGTCCATCAGAACCTCCAAACCCACACTCGTCCATCAGAACCTCCAGCACTAATATATAATATAGTAGTCGTAGTCACAGAAAACAGTAAATGTCCCTCCTCTACATCAGAACACAGTAGAAGTGGATCTTTTGAACTGTACTCACCCACAGCCTGTGCACACACCTCCTGGGTGTTACAGGTCACATTGGCAGTGCATTCATAAGAGGAAGGATCACAGCTGTAGCACTGCAGAGAACCAACAGGGGGCGCCACAACTGAAACAAATGTGTGTTAAATGAGACATTTTCAAAGTGCAGAACATCAGCTGATAAGAGAGAATCACTCACTGGGCTGATTCTGGTTGTTGCAGTTGTCTGTGTCGCAGCACGTGGTGTTTACAGCATAAGTGTTGGGGCCATAATTATATGAAACAAACTCAGACCCTGCAGCTGTACAGTCTGAAGCAGAAGCACAGCCTTTATAGGTGTAGTTGTAGGTGTAATTGTAGTATCCATAGTTGTAGGAGCCTAAAGACACAAACGGAACAAATAAGAATCTCCTGAAGAGGGCAGTGCAGGTGCTGGTGCAGCACAACCTGAAAAAAAAAAACACATTCAGTCCCACACGCCTCTTTGGCCACTTCAACAAAGTGAGACATATTTGTGTTTGAACTTCACTGGCTCCTCGTAAAACACCACATTCAATACAAGGTCGTCCTCATCACCTACAAGTCCCTCTATAACCTGACCCCACCCGATCTCACCCACCTCCTCCATCTGCTCTGTCCCACCCGCCGCCTCAGCCCACACCAACCTCCTCACTCCCCTCACCAGGACAAAGCACCTCCTCACTCCCCTCACCAGCACAAAGCACCTCCTCACTCCCCTCACCAGGACAAAGCACCTCCTCACTCCCCTCACCAGGACAAAGCACCTCCTCACTCCCCTCACCAGGACAAAGCACCTCCTCACTCCCCTCACCAGGACACAAAGCACCTCCTCACTCCCCTCACCAGGACAAAGCACCTCCTCACTCCCCTCACCAGGACAAAGCACCTCCTCACTCCCCTCACCAGGACAAAGTATTGATCCTTCGCCGTGGATCTTTGCCCCTCTCTCTGGAACTCACTTCCACAATCCATCAGGAACTTGGACTCACTGCAGCTCTTCAAATCACTTCTAAAAACTCACCTGTTCAAACTGACTGATTCCCTCCATGATTCCCCCGTTGTCGACAGTGTCACGTCTTTTTTGTTTGTAAAGTGTCTTTGAATCCAAAAAGTGTGATATAAGTCTGATGTGTTATTATTGTGAATGTTCAGCAGTGAGAAGCACATGAAGCACTCTCCCTTTTCCAAACACAGTGGCACTCATGTCATCGACTGGTGCCCACTGACATGGCACGGTGTCATCGCCCTAATTGTTATTGTTCACCCCAAAACACAGGGCACATTTGACAATATGCACCTCGTGCACGATGAAAACATAGTGTGAAGCACTCTTCCCTTATCAAACACTCAATGCCACTCAACAGTGACACTCATGGAATCCAGTGGTGTCCAGAAAGGAAACATTTGTCTGACTAAGAAATCATCCTGAGTTTACAGAGAACATTTTGTATGTGGAGCGACGACAAAACAAAATCATGATCCTTCGTTCAAACTCGGTTATGAATTTAAAAAGTCAACGCCAAAGTGAAAGTCTCCAACTGTTCACCAAGAAACACCTTCCACTGCAAAGACCAAGACGTGATGTTTCTGTAAAACCACAAGAACAAGAAAGTGCAGCTCAGTCTGTTTGTCTTCTGCTCCTCTACATTAACAAACAGGATTTTGTTTTGTCGTCGCTCCACATACAAAATGTTCTCTGTAAACTCGGGATGATTTCTTAGTCAGACAAATGTTTCCTTTTTGGTTCTTCCTGTGGATCAATCCTGCCCATCACCTTCACCTTTCACTATTTTTAAGTTCCGTTGGGAAGAGAAACAGTTTAAATGGAGGTTTGCAGTCATTATATCAGTTATGGAGTTCACAAACACATTTCTCGAGTCGTTTTCCGCTGTTAAGATCCAACAACCACAGAATTACGACGTCTGAATCCCAAAACTAAAATATGACAATATCAGAACCAGAAACAAAAGTGAAATGGTTCAAAAGACTTGAAAAGATCGACTTTGTCAATAGACACGTCCCACTGGGAAAACAAACATGGAGGTTTGATGTTCACTTTTTCTGAAAATCCTTCCCAGTATGAACTGCACGATGACTGTATGTTTGAAATTTAGGATGCATGTTTTATCACAGGTGGTTGAGAAACATCTGTAAAAACATCTCTAAACTCATCTGAGGGGAGAGATTTTCTTTGTAAATCACAGGAGAGCAGTGAGCTCCTTCAGTCTCTGGTTCTGTTCTTCTTCTTCTCTGGTTCTGTTGGGCTGCAGGTGGACGCTCTGCTCTTACCTTTATCATCAAAACCTGTTCACTGATGATGTCAGCTGAAGGAATGTACTTCCTGCTATGAAAGAACTCACTGTCTTATGTTTTGTGTTTTTACAGAAAGTACAAATTAAATCTTGTGTAATCAGTTAATTACTTGGTGTTACCTGGTGGAACAGGTTTGGGTGCAGCTGCAGAGTCCATGACCTACTGACTGTCACAGGACAAAACCAGAGACTTTCTTTAACACATAAACTGTGAAAAACAAGACCAAAGACCCGAGCACCCGGAGGAGACCAGGTGCACGACTGGCTGAGAGCAGAGGACACGTGACTCACTGTGATAACTGAGCACCGTCTCCGAAAAATACGAGTGTGGACAAATGTATTTAGATTCTCTGATAAACTTAGAGGATGTGATGAGAAAAGAGGCTGGTGCAGTTACCGGCGTAAGTCCTGGAGACACACTGGCTCTGTCCCGACGAGCAGATCTGTGACGTCTGAGAAGAACACGAAGAACCTCCACAGGACCGGCACTGCAGACCAGCAGCTGCAAGAGACCAGACCAGGTTCAACAAGGACTAAAACAGAACTAAAACAGGACTAAAACAAGGACTAAAACAGGACTAAAGCAGGACTAAAGCAGGACTAAAACAAGGACTAAACCAGGACTAAAACAGGATTAAAACAAGGACTAAAACAAGGACTAAAACAGGACTAAATCAAGACTAAACAAGGACTAAATCAAGACTAAACAAGGACTAAAGCAAGACTAACGAAGGCCTTAAAAAGGACTAAATAAGGACTAAAGGGTTCGGTCAAGTGTTAACGGAGGAAACGGTCAGATTTTTGACATTCAAATGTCTCTTATTCAGAAACTAGAGGAACTATTGAAATAAGTAAAGTATCAGAATGTAGGAAAGAGTTACACTCCAACAGGGTCAAGTTAAACCTGTGAGATTCTTTCAAGTTCAAGACAAAAAATGTAAAAACTCATGTTGGTAACGGAGGGAATGAAATATGCAGCACTTTTTGGTCAATAAATCCAAACAGTGATAACTCTTGGTTCTCACTTCCATATCCTTAACAAACTGGTTTGAATCTTTGCTTCATATAGTTTTCTTGTTGTTACTTCTGCTTGACCGGGCCCAAAAGCAAAATTAAAGCAAGACTGAAGAAGGACTAAACAAGGTCTAAAGTAGGACTAAAGATGGTCTAAAGCAAGGCTAAAGCAGGACTAAACCAGGACATAGTTTACACAAACCCGTCTGAACATAACAAGACTTAAACATGTCTAAAATTTTAAATCACACAGAGCGACCCACAGCTTTTAAGTGACGCTCACAACAGACACTATTCTCTCTCTTCTCTGTCGGGTCATATTTTTTTGGGACCTTTAAAATTCACTAAAATGGTGAAAATGTATTTTGTGTGTTAAAATAATTGTGTCTGAGGATTAGATGAAGCGTCGTTTCAGTACAAAAAATTGTCATTTTTACAAACCTAAACCTGAAAACAGGTCAATTTTGACACAAACACAATGTAAGACTAAAGCAGGACCTAAACAAGGCCTAAAACAAGACTAAACAAGGACTAAACAAGACTAAACAAGGACCAAACAAGACTAGACAAGGACTAAAACAAGACTAAACAAGACTGAACAAGACCGAACAAGGACTAAAACAAGACTAAACAAGACCGAACAAGGTCTAAGCAAAGTCTTAAACAAGACTAAAGAAGGACTAAAGCAAGACTAAACCAGGACTAAATCAGGACTAAAACAAGACATAATTTACACAAACCCGTCTGAACGTAACTTGACTTAAACGTGTCTAAATCCAAATTTAAATCCTACAAATACCTGAGTGGACGCAGATGAACAGAGCCACCAGAGTCAAGAGCTTCACAGACGTCTTCATCATCCTGCTCCTGTCTGCTCCTGTCTGTCCCTGTCGGCTCTTCTGACTCTTCTCTGGCTCTGCTCCTCTTTATACCTGGGCTGTGTGGTTGGTGAGTTGGGCGGCAGGTGGATGCTTTTATTAAACACGACTGCACTGAACCCTGGATTATTATTATGTTCAGTGATTGTGTCACCTGAAGGAATGTGACTCTGGCAAGAATCGGCTCATTTCTCGTCACGACTGTGTCCTGAGGAACAGGTGTGGTCTCTGGGTGTGCACCAGAACATTTTGTGACCATCTGACTGTCACCAGTTTAGGATCCAACGCCAAATCTACACAAATGTGCTACACAGCTCCCACGAGAGCCAATCACAGAGCTCCCAGACCCACGAGAGCCAATCACAGAGCTCCCAGACCCACGAGAGCCAATCACAGAGCTCCCAGACCCACGAGAGCCAATCACAGAGCTCCCAGACCCACGAGAGCCAATCACAGAGCTCCCAGACCCACGAGAGCCAATCACAGAGCTCCCAGACGCACGAGAGCCAATCACAGAGCTCCCAGACCCACGAGAGCCAATCACAGAGCTCCCAGACCCACGAGAGCCAATCACAGAGCTCCCAGACCCACGAGAGCCAATCACAGAGCTCCCAGACCCACGAGAGCCAATCACAGAGCTCCCAGACGCACGAGAGCCAATCACAGAGCTCCCAGACCCACGAGAGCCAATAGGACCCTTACGGTGCTAAATGATGAATGCAAATAAAATCGTCTGTATTCCCATGATGCACCTGGGCCCTGATGAGCTCCACAGACGCTGGTACGGATCAGGTCTGCGTCAGGGCGTCAGCGCTGAGCATAAACCAGCCTGTACACAAGAGAAACACAATTAAACAAAACACAACAAACGCACAATTCAAAGCACAAATGAAATGTTGTGTAACGTCCCGACTGTGGAGGAACAGGTTTGTTGTGTGGAACAGTTCATGACCTACTGACTCACAACAAAACCACTGACCTCCATTCAATTTAATCCACTTTATTTATCTAACACATCTGTCATTATAATTAATGTGTTGTGTTCATGACACATTTTAGAAACATGAGAATTTCCAAAGTGCTGCAAATGCAAATGAAAACAATAACAGACTGTCAATCATGAATCAAACCAGTTTTACAGTGAACAACACAAACAAGAACAAAGGATTTACACAGTCGGCTGAAAGTCCGTCTAAACCACGAGAGTCAGAGTCATTTTGTTCCGGGCGTCGTGTCCAACCGACTTTGATCCAAAGTGTCCGGATCAGAAAACTCATGTCATATAAACCCCAAAAATAACAAGAAGTTCAAATATTTGTGCAGAGAAACACAAATCTATTACACAAATCTGTTTTAATTGATGAACTCTTTCTTATTATAATATTATAATATTATATTATAATATTATAATATTATAATATTATGAACAACCTGAAACTTTAAGAAAAATAAAATTTCTACATAAAGTTTGAACATGAACTTGTCTGTAAACAGAATAAGTCCATTTTTGTTGTAAAATCCTGCACTCGGCTCCACTTTTCTCATGTTGGACATTTTTCTGATGAGGGTGTCACGGTCAACAGTCAAAACGATCGTCCTTTAAGAGCGTTTGGAAAGAGACAAGTCTTCATTTGTGCTGCTCTGGTGGGAGGGGCCACGTACAGAGACGCTGGAGACGCTGCTGTGATAAACACCACAGAAAATTAACAACATTTTAATAGAAAATATCATTAAAATATTTTAGTAGAAAAACACCCAAGGACCACATTAAAGGTCTTGGAGGGCCGGATCTGGCCCCCGGGCCGTATGTTTGACACCTGTGGTCTAAAGAGCCACGTCTGGAGCTGCTGTTTAAAAGAGTCTGTAGAGTCGGTCTCACAGAGGACCTGGGACCTGGGACCTGGGACCTGGGACCTGGGAACCTGGAACCTGGGACCTGGGACCTGGGACCGGGGACCGGGGGCCGGGGGTCGGGGGTCGGGGGTCGGGGGTCGGGGGTATTTCATCATTTGGGGGCCACAGTCTGAAACGTCCCCCTGTGTTTTAAATCAGGTCTGTGGGATCATCACGAGTCCCTGATCCAGACCCTGAAGCCGTTTGTTTTGGGGAAACTGTGTGTCTGCTGAAGTTATAAAATATAAACAGCTGCTGCAGCCGTAAAAATGTTGATGTCTACAAACGACTGAAGCTGTGGGTCCAGGATTATCATCTATGTTCCACTGATTTACAAGATAATAATAATAATAATAATGATAATAATGATAATAATAATAATAATAATAATAATAATAATAATAATAATAATAATAATAATAATAATAATAATAATAATAATAATAATAATAATAATAATAATAATAATAATAATAATGATAATAATAATAATAATAATAATAATAATAATGAATAATAATAATAATAATAATGATAATAATAATGATAATGGTAATAATAATAATGATAATAATAATGATGAATGATGAATAATAATAATAATAATAATAATAATAATAATGATGATGAATGATGATGATGATGATGATGATAATAATAATAATAATAATAATTATAATAATGATGATAATAATAATAATAATGATAATAATAATGATAATGGTAATAATAATAATAATAATAATAATAATAATAATAATAATAAATAATAATAATAATATAATACTAATAATAATAATAATAATAATAATAATAATAATAAAAATGAATAATAATAATAATAATAACTAATACTAATAATAATAATAATAATAATAATAATAAAAATGATAATAATAATAATAATAATAATAATAATAATAATAATAATAATAATAATAATAATGCATCAGTTTTATCCAGTTGTTTTTTGACGCTCAGAGACACTTTACAGAACATTCTTCATTCAGTCCAGACCCGGTGGTGTAAACTGTTACTGTAGCCACAGCTGCCCTGGGACAAACTGACAGAAGTGTGGCTGCAAGTCTGTGCCATCAACACACACACACACACACACACTTTCATATTAGGCAATGTGGGTGAAGTGTCTTGCCTAAAGACACAACAACTGGTGCCTCCTGTGGCTCCTGATTTTCCCAGTGTTTCCATCCAAGTCCAGACCAGACCCAGAACCAGACCAGACCCAGACCAGACCCAGAACCAGACCAGACCCAGACCAGACCCAGACCAGACCCAGCCAGACCAGACAGACCAGACCAGACCCAGACCAGACCCAGACCCAGACCAGACCAGACCCAGAACCAGAACCAGACCCCAGACCAGACCAGACCAGAACCAGACCAGACCAGACCAGACCAGACCAGACCAGAACCAGACCAGACCCAGACCCAGACCCAGACCAGACCCAGACCAGACCAGACCAGACCCAGACCAGACCAGACCCCAGACCAGACCCAGACCAGACCAGACCAGACCCAGACCAGACCCAGACCAGACCCAGACCAGACCAGACCAGACCAGACCAGACCCAGACCAGACCAGACCAGAACCAGAACCCAGACCAGACCAGACCAGACCAGACCCAGACCCAGACCAGACCAGACCAGACCCAGACCAGACCCCAGACCAGACCAGACCAGACCCAGACCAGACCAGACCAGACCAGACCAGAACCAGACCAGACCCAGACCCAGACCAGACCAGACCAGAACCAGACCAGACCAGACCAGACCAGACCAGACCAGACCAGACCAGACCAGACCAGACCAGACCCAGACCAGACCCAGAACCAGACCAGACCCAGACCCAGACCAGAACCAGACCAGACCCAGACCCAGACCAGACCCAGACCCAGACCAGACCAGACCAGACCCAGACCCAGACCCAGAACCCAGAGACCAGACCCCAGACCCAGACCAGACCAGAGACCAGACCAGACCCAGACCAGACCAGACCAGACCAGACCAGACCAGACCAGACCCAGACCAGACCCAGACCAGACCCAGACCAGACCCAGACCAGACCAGACAGACCAGACCCCCAGACCAGACCAGACCAGACCCAGACCAGACCAGACCCAGACCAGACCAGACCAGACCAGACCCCAGACCAGACCAGACCCCAGACCAGACCCAGACCAGACCCAGACCAGACCCAGACCAGACAGACCAGACCCAGACCAGACCAGACCCAGACCCAGACCAGACCAGACCCAGACCAGACCAGACCAGACCCAGACCCAGACCCAGACCCAGACAGACCAGACCAGACCAGACCAGACCCAGACCAGACCAGACCAGACCCAGAACCAGACCAGACCCAGACCAGACCCAGACCAGACCCAGAACCAGACCAGACCAGACCAGACCCAGACCAGACCCCAGACCAGACCCAGACCAGACCAGACCAGACCAGACCAGACCAGACCAGACCAGACCAGACCAGACCAGACCAGACCAGACCAGACCAGAACCAGACCAGACCAGACCAGACCCAGACCCAGACCCAGACCAGACCCAGACCCAGACCAGACCCAGACCTAAACCAGATCAGACCTAAACCAGACCCAGACCAGACCAGACCCAGACCAGACCCAGAACCAGACCAGACCCAGACCCAGACCAGACCCAGAACAGACCCAGACCAGACCCAGACCTAAACCAGATCAGACCTAAACCAGACCCAGACCCAGACCAGACCAGACCCAGACCAGACCTAAACCAGACCCAGACCAGACCAGACCCAGACCAGACCAGACCCAGACCAGACCCAGACCTAAACCAGACCAGACCTAAACCAGACCCAGACCCAGACCCAGACCAGACCAGATGTAAACCAGACCCAGACCAGACCCAGACCCAGACCCAAACCAGACCAGACCTAAACCAGACCAGACCAGACCAGAAAAGACCCAAACCCAGACCAGACCAGAAAAGACCCAAACCCAGACCAGACCCGGCCTCTGAGCTTCTGAGATCTGACAGGATCAGACTTTGACAAACTGGTGTGACCACGATCCATGATCTCAGTACCGGTTTTTGGTTCCACGTGTAAACGGACAAAACGTAGAAGTGGAGCAGAAGTGGAGCAGAAGTGGAGCAGAAGTGGAGCAGAAGTGGAGCAGAAGTGGAGCAGAAGTGGAGCAGAAGTGGAGCAGAAGTGGAGCAGAAGTGGAGCAGAAGTGGAGCAGAAGTGGAGCAGAAGTGGAGCAGCGCCGTCATCCCTGTGGTGATTTTCTGCTGAGGAAGGAG